TAATGTTTTATAGGTAACAACAATTCCGAGTAAACACGACGTTCCCTAGGTACACTTGTTACACTTTTTCGTTTCCTTTTTTCGTTACACTTTTTTGCCGAATGACCCTTCCTCATAGACGTATTTACGTCAAAATAAATTATAACTCTAGATTCCAGTTGGCAGAAAATGGAAAATGTGAGTCCTGATAAGTGACTTGTTTTGTTAAGCTTATGGTTTATGACAAACACCGTCCGAAAATGTTAAGTGTTTGTGTGAGCAACGTAATTCTGCACATCGTATTATTTAAGTTTTCTAAAATAGTAATTAATAATTCGCCAAGTCGGACCCAATATATTGTTCAAAGAAGAGGTTTTACAACAAGAATTATAATTAAATGATGATGTCCACAAATAAATTTAGTCAGTGTCAAATGACGTACCATACAGTCCCTTAGATTTTTACATGGAACGATTGCAAAACAAACAATATATAAACTATGCTTAAATAAAATCCATGTTCGTGTATGCCACTTACACAGTGGCCACTACTTCAACCGACACAGTTAGAACAGGCAGGTAAAACGAAATTTAATAAAATAGTTCTCAGTAAAACGGTTTCCCAATTTTCTTTAGCATCTCCAATAAATCAGGACGAGTTACAAGAGCCTTCTTTATCGCCTGGACGAGGGCGATTTCTTGGTAGAAAGGAGAAAAAGGCATGTCTTTTAACCCATATACGTGAACAGCTCCATCACCATCGCCAACCACCAGGTTCAGCCCGGATGATGTAAACTGAATCATCATGTTTCCTTCGTCAGTTGGTGAAGTTGTTGTGGAAGCAGGCACAAACACCGTGCGTCTGATGTCCCAGAAATGGATGTCACTGCCACTAATGCCAGCAATTATAGTTGCGTTTATGGGACTCCAAGCCGCACCTCTCACCGCTTCCATCGTCGTGTTAAGTGTCAAAAGGGGTTGTCCAATATCTTCGGTCCAAATTCTGACGCACCAATCGGCTCCACAAGTAAGAAATATTTTTGAACAGAAAGGTGAAAATTGCATTGAGTACACTGGACCATTATGCGCTACGAATATGTCCATATGATTGTGTAAATAATTGATAGAACATTTATGAACGCAGCCGTCGTCCGTGCCGACAAAATACGTGAGTGTATCCACTGGATGACGTACAAGAACTAAAGCAGCCGGATGGCGGGAAACGGGAATAACCTGATCAGTTCTGCTCCTCCGATACTGATCAATACCTTTCACCTTTTCGTCCATGCGAGTTACCCTCATAATAGGAAAACAATGAAGAGTTATGTCTCTGCGATATTTGCAGATGCGGCCATCTTGACAGCAAGTCATAAGTTGCTCATTCTGGTGATAATCGTCCTCCCGAAACCAAAATATTTGCAATACTGGCTCGTAAGACGGAGAAGTGTCACGACTGCTTGAAGCAATAACGTTTTTACTTCTAGAAGAAATATCAAGGATAATGACAGAGCCATTATAAAAGCCGCAAGCCAGAAGGTTTGGACGCTCCGTGGAAAAGTTAACTGATGTTACCGGACTGTCGAAATTATATTTTCTTTCAGGTTGAACTGGATTTTTTATAGTCCAGCAGCACACTAGGCCATTTTTACGGTCCTGATAAAAATATTTTCCATATCCCACAGCCAACAAATCTGTGTCTAACGAATTCCAACACATACCTGTAACAGTCCTTCCACGCACATGGTCACTGGTGAAAGACCACAACAGTTCCATACGGTACTTGAATTCCACAATCAAAAGAAATGGATCGGGCTGCATTAGTCCCCTGAATGTCTTCTGCTGGCCTTGATAAGCATTACTTGCTAATAATCGTTCCATTTTTGCACAAGCACCTAAGAATGCTTCACTTTTTACTGTTGACTCAAATCGTTCTTTAAGCTTGAAGTTCACAAGTTCAGTTGACGATGCTTCAGCGTTGACTTTTATTTTGCTGCCTTCTTCACTTTTATCTCCTTTTTCAGCATTGTCATCTAGCTCATTCGAAATGAACTCCATCTTCTTTCCAGTTGCTTCTTCTTCCGTATCACTGTACACTGTACACTGTCGTACATATACCACTCGCAAACAGAAATAGATTTATTTTGCTTTCTTATGGTTGACGTCATTCATTACTTGTAATACTGAGCGTCGTTCACTGTTGGTGTCCTCGCTTCCCAACTCAGCAATGTGGCTGGATCGATGGAGTGAGCGTAAGGTGGGAGTTACCGTGATTATGATTAAGACTTTCGACAGTTTTCGCTTTATGTAGGAAAAGACTGGGAAACCTAACTGAGAAACAGCGTCTTCTTCCAGCGGTTCCGTAATAGGATACACTGGTACATTTATTTTGTCTACTATCGTATCCATTTTGGTTACCATAAAATATTGTGTGATTAACCCAAGCGTAGATTTGGTAGGTATTGGTGAAGAAACTTCTACCAATACCTGGACTGCTGACTGATGTTCCTACAGAGAATTCCAGGGCATTTTGCCACTCTTCTTCAACAGAGAAATACATGTAATGAAACAGAGTTGCCTTAATCTGTAAAAGAAATTTATTTCTGTGAAGCACGAGTTTTGCCCCATAATTCAGTACTTTTTGATCCACACGCAGAATGCGAAAGAGTTATTGATGCAGTCACGTTTCTGTTTGGTTAACTCATGTCACGTTACTGACAAAAGTATTATAATGAATTATGGAGTCCAACGCGTAGACCCACGGCATTCATGTAGTCTGTAAATGAAATGATTCTGTCTTGTAATAACATGTAAAACATTCCACTTTTCACTCCGTACTGTATTCTGTCATAGTAACATACCTGCACTTCCAAAGCAACAAAATGAAGTTCAGACTATAAGGCGACATATCCAACAATAAATTTACACCATAAAATTGTATGCACTCTGGGTACACTGAATATATGCTTCATTGTGTTTCAATTTTATGCTTGACTGACCCACTTCTCATTGTTCCGTCTTTTTAGGCTCTTTTATGATCACGACGCTATTTTTAACATTGGCGCGTTGTATTTGTTAGACCAACAAATCAATAACACTACAAAATAAATTCTTCATATAAAGCTATGTTTACTTATCAGCATAATAATATAGTTTAATTATTTTATGTATTACTTCAATATAAGAGAGTATCGCTTTTATATTGACAGATTCGATGATTTAATATTGACTAAAGTTGTTATCCGCTTCCTATTGTGTTGTAATCAGCTGCAAAAGATTGTTATCTCGCACTAATTTATATATCACCGTAATGATTAACTGCTGAAATTGTCAGTAAATTGGTAAGCGTGTTATTAAGTATTGTATATATGAGGAAAATATTCTTAATTTAGTCTCATGTCATCTGTTCGTCAATGATGGGACAATGTCGGAAGGATAAGGCTAAAGCAGAAGTGAATCCATAACATAATACGATATGGCACATACATTCTCAGTCGTAGTTGTGTTAAATCCGTCTTGTAACGCATTTATTACAATGAAGCAGGAAATTCTGTACTGAATTGTTCCTAAAGTAAAACTGTACGAACTCGTACCAATTTTAAGGTTAGACAGGAATGAAACTTTGTTTTTACAGTGAGAGTGGAACTTTACAGAGTTGGCTAGAAGAATGGCAGCGGCAAACGAACCAGGTTCTTCGAGAAACAATAATGGAGAAGAAAAGGAAAAAGATGAAAAGATGTTCGAATGCAATATCTGCCTAGATACTGCAAGAGATGCAGTGGTCAGCATGTGTGGACATTTATTTTGGTATGTTGGGCAGTAAACTTGTACCTTTACAAGAGTATTTTCAGGCAATGTCTTGTTATAGGTGCTTAATCAGTATACACAAGAGAAGTGAAATTATGAAGAACAGAGAAGGCAAAACTTTTGCTTGGAATGCAATAGAAACTGATCCTTACTGTATACTATTCCCATTCCCCTACCTACTGTAATATACACCCCTTCATTTTTATTGTCCCTTATTTTGAAATGTCACCTGTGCCACCTACAGTCCATATTGACAAATCAAATAAAAACAACAAATATGACTGCAGATTTCCACTACACTTTTGACTGGACTGTTACTGATTACAGAATTTGTTATAACAGAGCACCCTCTACAAGACTCATTAATGAATTAGATGTTTCCCATCTGTCCAACCCATGAGCCACTTTGGAATTAAAGGTAAAGAGAGATGCAACCAACTTCTTCTAAAATGAAAGCCAAGCGCTACACATCTCCAGTTGCATGACATAAATAACATCAGTATCAACATCTGAAAACAAGAAATGTTGTTTTTTACCCCATTCACATATAAATTAAACTGTAATGTCCTAACCTAACCTAATCTCAGCTTATCTAATGCTTTAACATTGGCATAGACATTAAGTGCATCTTGCTGACCAAATGGTATGACTGGAGTTTGAACAGCGACTGAAGAAGAATTTGAGAGGACAGAGAAGCAGTGTGTTTGTGAAGTCTGTTCATGTAATTTAACCAGTTCCAGAAACAACATGTCATTGGAGACAATCTTATCTTGGTCCATTTTAATTTTATGTTAATAGTACCAACATGACGGCTGTGAGAGACTGGAGCAACATTCAATGTTCAGATGAATCTTTGGGGAATTGGCAGTTTATATTAGCATTTATATTGGCAAATATTGTACAAAAATACAAATTAACTTTGTTGTTGCATAAAATCATTGTTGCACAAATATTTTGTAGTCATCAGTCACAAGCTGACATCTCAAACAATGTGTTGCAAACATATCTGGGTCATTCCATTTGAGTTCAACAGCAAGTACTGCTTTTGTGACTGCAGTGCCCACAAAAATTATTTCCTATGGTCATTGGTGAAAACATATTTGCATTTTCTTAATATCTACAGTTGGCCATGTTTGCATCAGTGGTTAGAGACTCGCCCAAACCGCCAGGTATGCCCTGTTTGTAAAGCAGCCATCAGCAAGGAGAAGGTTGTTCCTCTATATGGGAGAGGAAGTACCAAACAGGAAGACCCCAGGTGAATATTCCACTTCACTGTTGAATTAATTGCATGCTTGTATCTGTCTTGATTTCTGACACGTCAGAAAACAAGTTCTGTCTCAAGATTTGAACATTTTTTATTGTAATTTATATTTGGATTTTAAGTACAACAGTAAATAAACCTTATTGTTATAATTTCATGCATGTATTCATCATTAATTTCAGGCAGCAATGACTGCAATATGCTAAAGAACTGTCCCATTAAAGGACACTTTTCGCCTGTATTCTATACTGTATATAGTATTAAATGTAGCAGTGGTCTACGTGGAATAATCAAAGAAACAGTTGTACATAATGACATTTTTCCTTCAGAAATAAAGTTCCTCCTCGGCCACCTGGGCAACGTTCTGAGCCTGAAAACAATGGTGTAAGTATGCTTATGAAAAACATTAAGTTGGTTAGGTTGTGACCTCATGCCTGATTGAAAATTTAACATTTATAAGCAGTAGGGTGATTTGTCACTTCATGTCTGTCTTCAGGAGCTTATTCCGTATGTCATTCCTAGTCAAAATGTAATAATAATAAAGTTAAATTCTCAGTGGTTAGGTATTTATTATGTGAATGTTAACAAATAAGAATAAGTAAACAGAAGACAGCAATCTTCAGACTTACCGCCACGAAAACCTAAAATCTTGCAACAAGTAAACAAGTTCTTACATAAAGTTGTTATTGTTGGATAAACAATAAATTTTCAAAATGACCGCCTTCAGCCTCAGTAGACATCCTAGCAACTCTGCAAATGAACTGTGTAGGTCACATCAATTCATAAGGATTATACTTTACAAGGGTTGCAGCATCCAAAACGTGATGAAGCCACTGCACCTTGAGTTTCTACTTTTTGTTGGTACACTGGATTTTTCATGTATGCCCACAGGTGAAAATCTGGGTGGCCAATTTTGTGGAACCATGACCAATCTATCAATCAGGGCAGCAATGATCAAGATACATTTTCACTGTGCAGCTAAAATTGGACAGTGCTTCTTTGTGTTGAAATTACAAATGCAATCATGTTTCTAAAGGAACATCTAGCAGATGCAGCAATTCATTCTGCACAAATTGTAAATGTCACATGGAAGACAACCCTTGAAGATAAACGGACCGATCAACTGATTGTGAAGAAAATCACACAGAATCAGTGTTGAAAACTGCTTTCCACAGTACCTTGGGGTTTTACTTCTGACCACAAATGTGAGCCACTAGTGTTTACCCTGTCACAGATAGATTAAGCCTCATCACATCATACTCTTGAGGTACGTGGATATGGACGGAAATCCTTCATACACAAACGCCAGGACTGTTTTACATCACCTGGATACTGTTTCTTTCTTCAGCCACATCTCGTACCAGACGCTCAGCTGAAGCAGAAATGCTAGGAATTGAACCACTGTCTTGTAATCTCAAGAAGATGTTGCTAACACTAACTGATCCATGATTCTTTGATTTGGAAATCTTCACTGGTATTTAGCAGCAGCATATGTTTTTCCATAGCAAAACCTGTGACAAAACATGAATCGCATGCTGAGACACAACACTGACAGACCTACTGGGATACTGGGACCCGTTCTTCAAGTGCCTGAGCACTGCGGGTCCCAACTTTACGTTGGCCTGATCTATAGACATTCGGTAGGACTCTTTGGACGAGGGATCGGCCCGTCGCAAGGCCTCTACCTGTACACAGGACAGCACAACACAGAAAAACGCGGACAAACATCCATGGCTTGAGTGGGATTCGAACCCAAGGTCCCAGTGGCACAAGGCCCACGCCTCAGACCGCGCGGCCACTGCGGACCCCACAGTGAACTACACAGTTAGTAATAAATGCCTATTTGGGTAAGGGCATTCATGCATATGGAAATGTGCATTGTTGGAAACATCCGTAATTCCACATCTACAATTTCTGCAGAACAAATTCCCACATATGCTAGAAGCTATGCAGTGGAAACATATCTCGATCATTGCTTCCGTGGTTGATGGATGAGTTATGGTGGACCACATCATTGGTGTCTGTCTCACTGTTTGCATGTGTATGCACGTTTTCATGATTACATACCAGTTTCATATAACAACTTAATTTTCCCCAAATTATTGTATTTTTCTATATAGATGTCCCTACAAGTAAAGTCTTTCTCTTTTCTTTTATGCCATGCATCAGTCAGTTTGGTAATGGAAGTTTAGCTATTAGCATATTCTGTTGCCTCGCAGTCATGGATGAAAATGAAAGTGAAAAATGGTGGTAGATGTAGTGGATCATAAGTGGGTTTTATACAGTTCTATAGTGTATGATCTCTCCAACAGACTAATATGCATTGAGTCTTGCAGTAGTCTTGGACAATCAGCCATGTCAGGATTGAAGGTGTGTTCCAATGTTCTGGAGACTTTGTCTTCATCATCAGTTTAGAGACAGTCTTTGAAATATTGGATCACTACTCTTTTCTCACATGGCTGATTGCCTGAGAATACTTCATTGCATTCAGCCACTATGAAAATTTAAAATCTTACATGCCTTTTGTATGGTCATAAGATTACGTAACATTGCATGCCCTTTGTGTATTTATTATACTCCCATAACAGATGTAATGGCAGTATAAATATAGACAACAGTGAGATTGTGTCAGGAGCACAAACTCTCTTCAGTGGTTTTCATTATGAGACTTGTTTTTTCATAGGGATTTCCTGGTTTTGGATTTGGGGATGGTGGTTTCCACATGTCATTTGGAATTGGTGCCTTTCCATTTGGATTTTTCACCTCTTCATTTAATTTTGGAGATGCTAGGCCAAGTGCAGGTATGATGAAATGTTCAGCTGCAATTATATTTGTTTTATAAGACCAAATAAACATAATGTGAATTAATCTATTGTATTTTCTTTTACAGCTCCCCGAGGAACCCCACAGTTTGGGGAAGAACATTTTCTGTCTAAAGTGTTTATATGGGTGGCTGTAATTTTCTTTATTTGGCTCTTAATGGCATAGTACTACTGATCTCCACTTATTTCAAAGTCACTCAGTGATAAATGCTGGAAATTACAATAGTGTCTCAGGATTTGGCAAGCATATTTGATTTGGTAAAGCGAAGACAGACACCAATAGAATTGGGTAATGAGGATTTACTGTTTATATTGCATTTAAAGTTTGAAAACTGAAATTTGAGAGGAATATCAAATTGATTTCAAATTGCAAACTTATGAAGTTATATTATAAAATTCATTACGCATTGCCCCATAATGAAGCAGAGTTCAATAATATAATAATAATAATTCAAGAACAATAATAATAATAATAGAATTTAATATATACTCTATGTTACCTTCATTTTCATTTTAATAACATATTTTGATATACTCTTGTAAATACTTTCCTGTTACTTTTTGAGTTTAAGTTTTTCTTTAATGGGTTGTTGACATGAATTCATGTTTTGCATACTGTCGCTGTAAGAAAGCCCTACATATTTAACATTATATCTGGCTTGTATGGCCCCATATGAATATTTAAAAATATAATGGGACCTAGAAGTTCAAGCCACTGTGTTAACCTTCTTCCCTTTGTTGTCCTGTTCTTTCTCTTTGGCATTTGTCACTCTATCAGTCACCTTGATTTTCGTTATGGTTGGTTTTATCAAACTCTTTATGTAGAGAAACTGAAGGGTCTAATTGTTTGACTTTAACTTTTGGAAAATTACAAAAAAACATATTTAAAAATTAAAATTCTTGCTTAAAACCTCTACATTGCATGGCTCTATTTTTGTTCTAACAGTGTAAATAATGACTTTAGCCACACCCACCTTCCATTAATATATTGGGTGATTTTTATTTATGAAACAATTTAAAACTAAATTATGGACAGAACTGAAGATACTCTGTTTCTACACTGGATACTTTAATTCATGAGGAATACCACAGAAAGAACAATCAAATGAAAATTGGTGGTACCTGTGTAGTAATCTTCTTCAGCACCAGTTAGAAACAAATCACACTTACATTTTGATAATGTGCTTATCTACTCATTTTTTATAAATTGAATATTCCGCTGTTCTGATTTTGACAAGTCTTGGAATAGTGACCAACTGTTCACATACAATCAATTCTTCATTATGATTAATACTACTGGGACATTGTCTGTTGGCTAGTATTCCGAACAGAACATAAGTATCAGAAACCTGATCTGTTTCCACCCTCAGGTGAAAATGTGGAGAGTACCTACTCATTTGGGTCATTCACTGACAGATTGATTCCTTCTGTCAGACCACAGTGAATATGTACTGTGAGTGGAGAATTGACTCAGCCTTGAAGCTGTGTTGTTATGCTGAATATTGTCCTAAAAGCATTGCCTCTTATTAAAAATGTTCCACTCCTGGAGCAGTCTGCATGATAGTTTATACTGTGGGTGTGTAACAAGTGACATGACAAAAACTAAATTCTGTATGAGTCAAAGCACTGCAAAGCTAGAAAAGTAATGGAGAACTGAGAGTATGCTGATGTTTCTTTTCCAGATAATAGAACAGCTGTGTCCCTGCACAGATTTGTACTTCTGTTTGAAGGTCAATTCTCCTCTCTGACAGACAGTACTCCCACATTTTCACCTGAGGACAGGAACAGATCCAATTTCTGAAATATTGTAGATGATGGACAAATTCCAGAAACTCAGGAATATTATTTGCATATAAGTCTAAAAAAATAGCTCATCCACAACATTCTTCTGTTCCCTTCTTCTATACTTTACAATGTTCATTAATTTGTGCATTAATAGAGAGCAGATTGTTCTAATTTTGTGAAATCTTTGAGGGAGAAATCGTCCAGCACAGTTTCTGAAACCCATCCATTTACTGTGTTTAGTTTGGAACATATATTGAAACATATGTTATGGAAGAATATTTCCGTTTCCTTTACTGTAAGATTATAGTAACATAACATTCTTTCCAACTTAATGTGTGTGAAAATTTATACATTCCCCATTATCATTTACTTTGTTCTTGACTACTGTTATTGCTTTGGAATATGTGTTGTGTAGCAGTAATGTGAATGGAATGTGTAACCACTAGTTGGATTATAAGTTATAACTTGTACAGAACTGTAGTTTGAATTTATAGGCATGAAAACAGAATAATACAACAGGACGATAAATGTGTATGTGATGGATTTCTGCAATTTCATACTGGAATTAGTTTTGTATTCTTGGTGCAAGAGGTATATGGGAAGTATCATAGTAACTGCATATCTTTTCAGTCAACACGTTGAACACATTGTAAATGAATGACTCAAAGTTTCTAAAATAAAGATTTGTTATCTGTATCTTGTAATTTTCTGGCGTATTTTGCTAGTCATATGTCTTACATAATAAAATCTCAGTATGATAAACTTTTATGGACTGACACATTATATTAATAATTAAATTTGGTATAATGAAAACCAATAACTTAAGATTTAATGCCTTTTTGTTGAATAACTGGCACATTGCATGTTCATAATGATATTCACAGGCGTAAAAACAATTGTTCGTACTGCTTTCACTAATGAAGACAGAATTATCTAACATCTGTTGTGTGTCAAGTTTTACATACACTCCAGCTGGCCATAAATCACAGCAGCATACTGAAACCTGCAGTATGGATCACAACATGATGTTCATTTTCACAACTTGGGAAATCTCTTCTTGAGTAAGGGGATGCTGATAGTGCTAGGGCATGCTGCAGACTGTACCTCTTCCCACATAAACAACTTTAACATGTTATAATACGAGGTGCGATCGGAAAGTTTCAAGACTGTGTCAATAGAGGGCGAACCGGATGTAGTACGAGCTTCTGCCGCTAGGGGGTGCGGCCTACATTCATAGTGAATCAGTGTGCCAGCCGGCATCATCGAATTAGCATTTGTTTCTTAGTTACGGGCGTTTTGGTAGTGCATTACACCGACCCTCCTGCGATTGCGGA